TGTTGTGGTGTGGTGCGGTGAGGTGTGGTGTATATGGGATTGACTCTCCTTTTTTATTTGCTTTTCATCGCAGCTTCTATCTTTACTATTTGAAGATCTTTTCAAAAGGTTTTGTGGAGAGGTGAGTCTAGCTAGGTACTCTGAATAATGGAAGTCTTCTAAGAAAAGGGAAGTTATTAATTATAAAACAGTTTGGGATTGGGATTTATTTTGATAATGGACCTTTATCACGCGACAGCCATGTTGACAGAACAATAGATTTTACCGCGTGGCCTCGCTTTCGAGCGTTTCAGGATGAGTTTACCGTATTTATTTTTTGTTCAGTTGAAGAAAATTGCAGATCAGACGATACCCAGGCCTCGTGCAGCACAGGTTAGTTTATAGACTAAATACAAATCTGTATTATTCTAGATTTTAGTGCTAGTGCTAGGTTTTCTCGTTACTGCATAGCTTCTCTTTGTGTCATGTCTATTTCCAGTTTGACATCGTGAAGCACATGAGACAAGACCTGATAACCAATGGKCTGGTACATGCAATATCCTCAGTAAGTACATCATCTGCTAATCAAACTTTCAACTTTTTTCTTACTCAGTACAAATAATTGGCGCAGCTTGAACTGCGTTGTTTTCATGTATTATGAACAAGACCTTGAGTGCTGCGTTTGTTATTAGTGCGCATTCTCCGTTATTTGACTGCTGCGCATTGCAGGCTCAAATGGTGATGACTGGGACCCAGTACAGCAAAAGCACGGGTAGTGGAGGACTGTGGAGAGGCTTCTGATCTTTATCGCGAATCAATAAATCTGATCAAATGGCATGCTCAATGATTTATAAAGCAACTTTTGGTAGCCTCCTTAAATTACCAGTTATTGTATCTATCAAGGGCTTAGCTAACTGCCCCTTCCTTTCATTCTCTTTGACTGTTTCGATCTCATATTTATATATTTTCTCTTTAGGGTAACTGGGTAATCAAGAGATTCAACATGAATCGAGCAGGTGTGACCCAGGTTGGTACCATAACATGCATTTGTGCGATTTATCTTCTCACGTACGAGGTCAATCAAGGTGTTTTCATGGCATCATCGGAAACATTTTCAAGGGCACGTGTCGATCTATGAAATGTCATTGAAACGCCTTGATTGACGTCCACCAAGACCTACTTTGTCCTGGCGACAAATTGTACGATGTAATGTGTTTTTGTTAAGAGGTGTAAATCTGGACCTTGCAAAACTGAATCTGCTTGATGTGTACACGTTGTTGATATCCGCAGGTTCTCTCCAGGCTTTCTTTCATTTCTGCTCTAGGAATGATGACAAGAATCACTAGTCAGGTAAACTGCGCTCTGTACCATGCCGCGCCGTCCTGTTTCACAGTCATAAAAAAGTTGTTTTAGTTCGACGTTGCGTAGATTAAGCATCTTAAAAAAAAACTGAAGTGCGTCATATCTTGTCATATCTTAGGAGGGATTTTACACACTTAAGAGATAAAATGAATGCTCTGGAAGCTTATATGAAGTTATTTTTTTATAGATATTTTTTTCAGTTTTCTTCTAACAAGTTTCAAATCATTACTACTGAACAAGTGAAGCGTAAATGCAATGAATGTTGTAATACCTTTCCCTTACTTTTTTCAGTCTTTTGTAGACCACATCAGTTAATTAATAGGCAAGCCCAGTTTCATGTCACGAAGAGAGAGATCCGGCTCTGAATAAACCTGTACTTCATCAATTATTTATTTTTAGTTTGAAAAGACACGTAAAGTCAGCGGTCCTCGATCATTGCAGCCTTCCCAGTGGGGTATGTTGTGTCCCTCCGACACTCCTGAAGGAGAGGTAAGAACTTGATTTTATAATTTGATTTTCAAGGACAGCGTGAGTTATTTTTGGTAGCAACAAAAAAAGAATGGCTCGCCATGGAAAAGAAAGTGGCTGCACGTGACAGTAGTCTGGCTCATATAAGGCATATTGCTTGCGAGGATGCCTATTTCCCTGTTTTAGTCTAGTAGGAGCTGGTAGTCGATTTAAAGAGGTCATTCCTCACTAGTTGTGGTAGGCTTTTATCAGGTTTAGAAGGATTCAATAAGAAAGTACTTTTATGAAAGTGTGTACTCGTTCTAGCACTTTTGCTCTAATAGTTTCAGGACACACACCTGCACTACCGCTACATTTTCCTTTTTTTTTTTTCGTCAGGCATGTGGTCTTGTCAAGAACTTGGCTCTGATGACCCACATAACGACCGACCAGGATGAAGAACCAATCATACGACTGGCTTATAATCTAGGCGTAGAGGTAAGAAGGCACACTATACAAACATAGGAAACTATATTCGGAGGAGGGTGAAAAGGTAGAAGAAGGACTTTAGTATACAGTAGGTGTCAATGTTTGTACTTCGAGTATATGTGGCTGCTCTCGTGTAAAATTCAGGTTTCCATTTCGTACTTTATTTGGGGCATGAAAAAGTMAAAATAATGGAGAAATCATTGTTGAAATTATTTGTTCTTTGTCGAGGTAACCAATGACTAAATGGTCTCATCGATGACTTGTTTTGAGATGCGCTCACACTCTAGCTGTGGGAAATCTCTGTTGCTCAGGGTTAGCCTCGATTTTGCGCAAAATGGTCATGTGTTCCAGTGAAGGCCTTGGAATTTCAAGATGTTTGTTTTGTTGAAGTCGTGCATTCTTCACTTTTGCGTTGGTATTTGTGAACATGCTAACCCTGAGTAAATGAGTCTGTGATCAAGGAACACAGCGGTATTTGACTAATTCGAAAACGGTGTACTCTGCCACTGATCTTTAACAAATTATTTCTTCGTACTTGATCACTATCGTAAATTAAACTGTTTACGTCATCACAGGAAATGTTACAATGAAATAATGAGTAATGTTTTTGAAAATTAGAACGTAAACCTTCTGTCTGGCGAAGAAACAAGTCGTGCATCTGTCTATCTCGTGTTCTTGAACGGTAAGGGAATGGAATTGATTCAGAGATAACGTTAGGTGAGTGGGTGAATAGATGGATTGAATGATGGAATCCTACCTTTCCTTCATCTATCCATTTGTCCTATTTGCTCATCCACCCATCCATCTATCAACCCATCCATTCATTTATTTATTCACTTTTATTCATCCATTCACCAATCCATCCATTTATCCATCCATCCAACCACCCATTCATTCGCCCATACGTTTATTAATCCACTGTTCTACCCACCCACTGTCTTATATAGCGTTTTTACTACATCGAAGAAATTCTGAAAAATTGATCAATTACAGAACGATTAAGAGAAAGAATGAGAAAAAAAACATATCTTACATTCATAGGATTGTTCCTTGGCGTGATCAAAGACTACAAAAAGCTTGTCAGAACATTCAAACTGATGAGGAGAGCTGGTTATGTGAATGAGTTTGTGTCGATCTGTCCCAACCATAAGTTAAGGTAGGTACACCATACCTGCTGAGCGGTCAATATTGTTTCAGCCAGTCACAGAGCGTTTATCTGTTTTGCCGCTGGCCCTCATTCCCAGGCTTCTGTCAACCAACTTTTGCGCATTTTTCTCTTTTTCTTTTGACTAAAATATACGTGCCTACAAGCAACAGACCTGATTCTGTTATATTTGGTCCTCAGGTCTGTGAACATCGCAGCAGACGGTGGAAGAGTATGTAGGTGAGTACTACATTAACCATCATGCATTGAGTGTTCATGGTATAAAAGCTGGGTATTCTTTACCTTCACATCCCCATAATACTTTGCGATTTTGGGGGGTAACCAGAGGGTAAAAACCCACTTATTTTGCTGAAGGCTGATCAGACAATGTTGACAATACCTTGTTTGGTATCCAAAAATAAAATGAAGAAGTAAAAAACAGAAAATGATAGAACCAAAACTCTTCATGATCTGTACACGTAAAAATAACTTGGAATAAACTGATAATCAGTATTGTACAGATAAAAGCAGGTATAGTATAAATTCAATCAAGAAACCTTTCAATTTGGGACAGTTTTTTAATTGGTTACCCCCCAAAGACGCAATGCATTATAGGGATGTGAAAGTAGAGAATTACATTAACATTCATTGTGTTTATACCCAAGATAGCTCACTTTAACATGCCGTTTTTCCAGACCCTATATCATCGTTGACAAAGGACAGCCACGCGTAACAGATAAACACATCAAAGAGCTAAACCAGGGGTTCAGGTAATTATGTCTCGTAGTAAACACATGAGTTTTAGGGCTTCGGAAAATATGTTGATATGAGTACCAAAGCTAAGTAAAGGTTACAGTCAATTCAAAAAAATCACTGAAGCAGGTGACTGCATATTTTTTTCTGTTTAGTTATGCCTTCGGTTTACAAGACAGACCCTTCGCTGGTGACCGAAATTCGGAACTGAATCATAACTACTTTAATTTTTCTTTCGTTTAACTCAAAGGCATATACAGTTAACGGCTTGTTGCTGGCCATTATTATCTTATTCCTACGATAGGCCCTTTACAGCTCAGTAATCACGTGCTAATTAGTTCACTGAGAGCAAATGAATGAACATCTTGATTCCCATGGGTGAAATATGATGGTGAGCGAACAAACTTTCTACAACCTGTTTCGAGAGATCGTAATAAAACTGCATTTCGTGACACACTGSTTACACATCGTTCCATTCAGTTCTTTACAAGTAGCTAAAAAGAATCTCCAATTTAAAATAATAATAAAAAATTCTCACCAGTACAGACACGTGACCGTTAACTTCAAAAGGCCTATTAATTCAGAAAGAATATTTTTAAACCGCTTCAGTGATTTCTACTCGTATTCTTTTTCGATCCAATCGCATAGCCTTGAGCAGTTTGACGACAATGTTTATTGAATTGACTATATGTATGAGCATTCCTTCCATCTTCGTTGTGAAATTCGCAACACAGGTATCCCAATTCATGTGATATTAGTGTAGGTATTTTTAGCCTTTCTCTTCTTTTATGTAGGAGTTTTGATGACTTTCTACATGAGGGTCTCGTGGAGTATCTTGACGTAAACGAAGAGAATGACAGCGAAATAGCATTGAGTGAAAAACATGTTACGAAGTATGTATGCAAGGTTCTGTTTCTTAATTCCATCCATCTTCCTTCTGGACATCTATACATCCATCCTATTCATCCCTTTCTCCTGTCATTCTTTCTACCATATATCCTTCCATCTATACCCACTTCTTACTTCCTGTCCTATTTTTTGTTGTGTTTTCAGGAGTACAACCCATCTAGAGATCGAGCCGTTTACATTACTAGGTGTGTGTGCTGGTCTGATCCCATACCCACATCACAATCAGTCACCAAGAAACACATATCAGTGTGCTATGGGAAAACAAGCCATGGGTGAGTGACTACTTTCTCCATCCCCCCTCCCCCCGCTCCGTTCACAACCCAAGGTCTTTTACATCAGCTGATAAACGTCTTTAAATCTTGTTATCTGTTACAAATGATGTTCAATTACTGACCACCATGTGCTGTCAGCCAAAAAGGCTAGACGTTAATTCCCGTTTCGCCCGGAGTCAGTGAGGTAGCAAGGGTACCAAAGTTGGAGGGGTGAGCACACGTACTTTGGCGAATAATTCCCGCCAAATCAAAATCCCCCCCTCCCTCCCCCCACCGGCAAAAAATAGGAAAAAAGGAAAATGTATAATTTTTAGTCAAACGCCCTTTCCTGGATTTTTACTGATTTTGTGATGTTTGCCTGTCGTTGTAGGCTTTTTCTAAGATTCATGAGAATCATTCTATCGATTGATACTAGTTATAATATTGTGTGGTCAAAAGGAGAAGACTGACAGTGTTTGCCCTTCATATCTAGTACACCTTTTTTTCCAGGAATCTCGTTTCCATTATTTTGTTAGCGGTACGCAAACTATTAAAAGTGGATTTCACTTTTGTTTACAAGGGTTGTTGTCTTTCCAGGTTCTATCGGCTACAACCAGAGAAACAGGTAACTCGTGCTTTTTTGTTTATCGTAAGGAAATATGATTTATTTGTCTTTCTCGTTGGAAGGAATTCAAAATGCTCACCATTAGAGAACATGTCGCATGATTGTACGGTACGGACGGGTTGACCGTCCCATGAGGATATCTCAGTATATCGATTCTCTCAGCAGAAAAAGCTAAAAGGTGCACGAAGGTGCACATTCTACCCCCTCTTACTATCAGTACTCCTTATTGCGGAAATTTAAAGCTAAATCTAGACGAAACAGAGAGAAGTCGAAACACACTTGGATATCCTGAGGATTGAAYCGTGGACCTCTAGCTCTAAAGGCCGCGCACTAACCAACTGARCTACGCCTGCTCCTAAATCGAAATCTCGTGCATTTCGTCCAGGCCCGCACCATTGCATTCCCGTGTGCCGCGCCGTATCATTTTACGGTCATGTAAAATCTACTGAAGACCAGTGGAGTTTAGAAGCCGATTCTATGTTCTTAATTCATCTGATTGTTTTTCAGGATCGACACCCTTCTTTACTTTTTGGCATATCCCCAGGTTCCACTCGTTAGAACAAAGGTAAATAGAGATGATACAAGATACCAATATAAAATATATTCTAACACACTTGACGTATCTTTTTGTTACACAGACTATCGATCTTATTCACTTCGACAAGATCCCTGCAGGTAAAAATGGTAGTAGGAAGAAAAGGAAAAAAAGAAGGAAGGAAGGAAGGAGAAACGGATTGAAGGAATGGAGAAAGTAATAAAGGAAGCTTTTAGAGAATGTTTGAGAAAGGAAGAGAGAAAAGAAAGACGAAAAAGAGCAAGGAATCAAGGAAGGGAGCGACAAAGAAAATCTAGATGTAGAATTAAGTTTATTATATGTACGTAGGGTTTCATATAAAACAAAGATTTTGCGTTTCATCTACGCTTTTTTGACGTTTGTTTATCCGACTTTTCGAGCCTTAAAGGCTCGATTGCACGGAGCAATTTTCTCTGCAACTTGTCTCCCAGCAGCGCTGCAACATAAGCTGCAAGAGTGTATATACGGTGCAATGGAGACGCAGTCGTTGCCAAATATCTACTTTTCGCAACRAGGGCTGCTCCTTGTACTGTCTCGCAACATATTTCAAATTGTGCTGTAGGTTACACGCTGCAATGCTCCATGCAACTTGTGTCGCAACGGCGAGAAAATTGCTCCGTTTAATCGAGTCCTTAGTTAGCGTTCAAGCTCGTCCAAAAGAATACTGGCAAACATATAAAGAGCGTGCTCTATATTTATAAGTATGTCGTCAATTTAATTGGGGGAGAGTGAATGTTAATTTGGCGGAAGAACCTTGCCAGAATCTTTGTTGCTTGGAGCGTTTTCATTATTCGTTATCTTTTGTCCTAATGTACTCTCCCACCTATTGCAGGTCAGAATGCAACAGTTGCTGTCATGAGCTACAGTGGGTATGACATAGAGGTGAACACATTTATTCTTTTTGTTGAATATTGTTATATATTATTGCATTATACTGAGAACATTGGTTTATTTCCATCGCAGGACGCACTAGTCTTAAACAAAGCATCTGTGGATCGAGGTTTGTACCAGATAATATATCTGTGCCATGTTTACTCATCGACCTTTTGTCAACAACACTTTTCATAATATTGAATTTCTATTTCGGTTTTACTTGTGCGCGCTTCTTTAGCATTTTCCTTTTCTTTTGTTTTCTTATCTTATCTTACCTTTTCTTTCCATTCTTTATTTTCTTTCGTTATTTTCTTTCGTTTTCAATTCCATGAATTTTCATTTTCTTCATCTCCAGGTTTCGGTAGATGTCTGGTGTACAGAAAACAAGTCTGTACTTTGAAAAGATATGCAAACCAGGTAACATTGTCTGTTGAACAGAATAATGTCGTAGTCTATAAAATGAATAACTTTTGTTATGTTTTTTCTTCCATGAATTAAAAGACTTTTGATCGAGTGATGGGTGAGTATAATGATCATAATATAACTAGATTATTACGCGCGCTCTGATTGGCCAAAAACCAATGAACTATTTCCCCATGGGCTGCACGCTCGMGCACGCTGATCTCAACGGACGCTCGCCTTTTTTCTCTAAATTTTCAAACCCGATGGCGTCAATAGCGCGCGCACGAGCGAGATGTGTGATATAACGCGCGCTCTGATTGGCTGAAATGCCTATGAACTATTTGCCCACGGGTCACACGGTAGATTTTTGGTCATATTATAAATCACTTAGACGACAAAAAAGCGCTCGCCCATGGCGATATAGACGCACTTGAGAAAATATAAAGAACTCTTAACAAGCTAGAGTGTCACTCGGCTTCGCCTCGTGCCACTCTTTCGCTTGTTAATCGTTCTTTATATTTTCTCTCGTGCGTCTATATCGCCATGGGCGCGCGCTTTTATGTCGTCTAACTGATAACTGATACTTCTATTCTCAGACATTTTTCCTGCTATATTTGTTAATAATTTGAAGTACTGTTGATCTTTCGCTGTCATTCCAGGGCCTAGTAAAGACGCGCAGACAGGAGAAGTGATTTGGAGACACAGACCACTTGATGCTGATGGTATTGGCTCACCTGGTAAATATACCATGCATAATAGTCCAGTTTCGAGTTCCAAATTACCGCTGTGTTTCTTGATTACAGACTCACGTACTCAGGCTTAGCCTCGAATTAGTATCTAATTACTCGCAAATACCAACGGTAAAGTAAAGAATGAACAACTTCAACAATACGAGCACTTTGAAGCTTGACAGACCTTGACTGGAATAGGTGAATATTCTATTGTTCCTGCCCTATACAATATGGCTGCCATGGAACCTCTCTACTGCCGTAGAATGTAGAGTTAGCACGCGCTGTGATTGGTCGAACGATCAGTGATTATAACACGATATGTTTACTACTCGAGAGGTGATTATGACTGAGGTTTTCCTAAGTTAGCCACAGCGAAAGTAATACTAAAAGGTTTTTTCATCATGAATTTCTTCTGATATTGAAGTCTAAAATTATTCTAAAACTATTCACTTTGCCTTCGGTTTATAATTATCCTTGCTTTATCTAGTTGAGCGGTTATATGCTTGAATTGTTCACTTTTTGGTTAAAAGCACCAAACTTGCACTGATTATAGGTTTCATTGTGATAAATAAGATTTGATATGGAGCCAACTTGAAATCGGGTTCTGAGGTTAGTTATAGGGAGATTTTCAAAATGGCGGCCATCTTGACCGGAAGTAAAATGTCATTTCCTTAAAAGTAACGCTGATTGACAATCAATTCATTTTTTAAGACGACAGTTGCATAACTCATAAGTAAAATACGTATTTCGTAATAAAATGTTACAAAAACAGTTTTAATCGTGGTGAAAATGACTTTTGGCAAAAAATATTGTTTAAACCGGAAGTGAGACTACTCACAACCGGAAGTCCTTTAAAACAGTCATTCAGCGTTGCCACAGTCCTCAAGACAACCACATAAGGCGGTACAGACAAGTTGAGCCTTCACACATGAGCACCTTCCTGAGCAACCTTTCTTGCAGGCACATTTCACGAGCTCCATACATGACCTGGTGACATCTGGTAGGGATGACCAATATGGCTGCCACCCATCGTCACTCATGACCCATACCCAGTTTTGTGGACTCGGAAGAACTGGTACCGGTAAAATTACTTGGCCCCAACAGTAGCCAGCCTGGTAAGCGGCTCTTCTTGAGTGTTGCACCAGTGCAGTCCTTGTTGGAGGGATTGATTCCAGAGAACGCCCTTTCTGGGCAAACAGCTGTTTCCTTGCCTGGTTGATGTCAGTCTTGTCACTTGTACGATCGTACATGAGAATGACAAATCTCTCCAGACGTTCCATGCATGGCGCACTGACATCCATTCGACAACAAGACAACGCAAGGAAAGCATCGGTTACTTCTGGATATAGCTTCCACGTTTCAACTGCTGTCTATTTTCCCCTCCCACCAAAACAGGAAACAGTGTCACATCCTGTAAAGGCATGGAAAAACGGGAGTGCAAAAGACCATTCCTTTCCGCAGGGCAATGGCTATCTCGTGGGCAGCGATGTATCGCAGGCGTGTCCCCGCACCAAGCAAGCAACCCAGAGAGCTCTAGTGTACTCTCCTCTGTTTGCAGATTATGGTAAGCTGCAGTGGCCAATACAAGCACATCTGTGTCGACAGTGCGGATTACGATCTTGTGATAGCTTTCTTCAACTGCGTTGGCATCATGGAGATAAGTTGTTAGTATCACAAGCAGCAGTGCACCGTATTTCTTTGCCATACGTTGTAACAACCAGTTTATCGGTATCAAGAGACGCAGTGAGTACGGCTAAGAACTTGAAAAATTCTCGCTTGTTATCATCCACCCGAAGAAAATCTTTCCAGCTGCGAGGAAGACACGTCGTCGGACACCAGTTCCGCGATCACATCTAATCGTTTGTTTCAGGCTGTTTTCTATATACTCATCCCATACGACTTCAACACGCCGAGATTTTCTGAGTTGTGTTTTGACATACGGCAAGAAAGATTCAGTGGCATATTGGTGAAACGTCTTCTGTGCACCAGGTTTGATCATGTTCACCAGAGCTGCGCCGTCAATTATGATAACGTCGACATTCGATGGGATCGTGCTCTGTGGACTTGTGTGAGACTGAAGACCTTCTACCAATTCTGATTCGTTTCTTGGAATCCGTAGTTTTCCGAGGTTAGATAACGCTGGTGGACATCGCTGGTTTTCATGCTGGAAAAACTGATCCAGATCACCGTCCCTTGACTGGCATGAAATATACAATCTGGAAAAAAGGGAGCAGTCGCTCTTGAGAGATGAGACCTTTTGAGATGCTTTGGATGTCTTTGGTGCTGGGGTATTAAACAGGTAGATCTTGTTTCTCTCGATTGGTTCATACATCGACTTTTTTCGGTTCACTAAACACTCAGATATGTAAGCCTGGCTTTGTTCTTGACCAATAGCTTCTGCCTTCATCATCATTGATACAGCTTCTCGTCCAGGAATTTCTTTTGTGTCTAAGGCGATAAGATCTTGGCTGTCTTCCAAAAAAGGATTTCCTAGCTCTTCCATGGTATTTACAAGGGCTTTAACATCTACTAAAAATGACGTCTGAAAACTCTTGTGCAATTCATGATGTGATGTGGCTGGCATCTGATGGTTTGCTTCTCTATTCATATCAGCTTCAAATTCATTCACAAGTCTTGCTAGCTCAGGACCTGCCACCATCCAGCGTCGAAGAGCGTTGGGGTTTTCAGTTACACCAACTGCTCCGCCTTCTCCTTTTACGATGGCATTATTTTGCTCATGAGCCTGGTCGATGGCCATACTCGAAAAGTTYCTGGATGATTTCTGTACTGTGAAAAGGCCTTCTTCAAACTTTGATGCAACACTGGGGGAAGTCTGGGTAAGTCTGCGCATGTCCAGCAAATGGACAGGGAGCCAGCGTGCATAGTTGATGTGCTTATAGCAAAAAGCCAGGGAATCATTTTGGAAAGAGAATCGGTGTACTGCTTGAAATTGGATGTGCGAATTGATCTCAGGAACACCAGTAGTAAAAGTTGAAGCTGCATAGTAACGTACCAGTAATAGAACTGTGGCACTGACTACTGTTTCTCACACCATTCATAAAATAAAAATGCTCGGCTTCCATTTGCGCTTGCGTGYTCTGGGTACTTGGCATATGCACGTTGAAGTAGGATATATAAGCTGATCGCTGTGATTTGATGTGCCCGCCTTGTTCGCGTAACACTCGACGCCTTCAGGAATGAATTTGCTGTTCCCGCTGAGGCTATTTCTGCGTCCGTCAATGCAGTTGTCCATCCGCACCTTTCCAGCCATCCACTCCTTTCCAGCCATCCACCGAGTAACTTCAAGAACGCCATTTCAATATGGAGGCCACCAAACATTATTACGAACTTTGTTTCTCCATGAAGATTATTCCATTTCCATTGGATTTGTACCAGTCTTTCTCGTGCTTTATTTAAAGACGCAAATTTTTTGTTCTCTTTTTTTCTTTCTTTTTATTGTCTTTCTTTCTTTCTTTTTGCATTTTCAATCACATTTCATTGTTTGACAAATTCAGTTAAATACTTAATCATTCAAAACCAACAAAACGTCATTAATTTCTTAGAGCGATTTTGCAAATCAACAACAAAATACCTTTAATAATTCTTTGGTATAATGTGTCCATTTCTTCATTTTGGCATTAACCAGTTATAGTTAGAGGTTCTTTTCTCAACAAACCTTACTAAACTAAACAAAGCAGTCAGAGCACTTGTAAAAAAATTTTGGACAGGCTGAAATATCACTTCCGGTTTGAAATGATGTACTACCGTTTTATCTAGAATAAGAATCGATCTATTCATCATATTAATATTTTATCAATATTATCCAATAGTTTTGTCTGTATGACCGTGTTGCTAAGTTTAATATTAGAAACAGCAATATTTAAGTCAAAGAAAGCAATTTTTCTAACGTAACTTTTCACTTCCCGTCACGATGGCGGCCATTTTGAAAATCACCCCATAACTCAAGCCAGAACGCGAATTCATGGTGGCTCCATGTCAGATATTGATAAGCTTGAAGAAACCAATATTTCCCGAAAATTTTGTGCTTTTAACCTAAAAGGGAACAATTTGACCAAAAATTCTGCACCTATCCGCTCTACTAATCCCTCCCTAACCTACTTGTCTATTGTATTCTAGGTGAACGTGTCGAGAATAAACAAATATTAATCAACAAATCAATGCCTGTTGTCACGACAACCCCGTTACAGTCAGGTACGAACCCCAAGTTATATCTTTATCATTAATAACGTTCTTCGATTGAGTATACCCTGCACATTACATGTAGGCTTCAGAGAGATTGTATGTTGGGTTGCCTGTGCTATCATAACAATAAAGCAACCACCTCCTTCCAAGCCTCACCTCATTTTGAAACAGGAAGCCCACTTTCATAATTTGCGTAGTCCCAAAACGGAAGCTATACAATTGGACGAAACTTCGATAGAATCTATTTAAATATTTACTGTTTGTGACCAGGTACACCAGGTCAACCACCACAGCCAGAGTACAAGGATGTGCCGATAAGGTAAACAACTTGCAGCTGCGGGCCACTTGCTATCCCTCCTCTTCTCTTTCTCTTCATCCTCGTTTCCTTTCCTTTCGTTCATTCTTTTCTAGTAAATAGATATACTCTTTTTTCTAGTTACAAGGGGTCAGAAGGTGTCTACATTGAGAGAGTACTGATCACTTCGAACCCTGAAGAGGTACCTCATTAGCCTATTTATAAGACTTAATTATTAAAACAACGTACTACTTAAAACTAAAACAATTCCATTTTACAATGCCTTTCTTTCACAGGCGTTCCTCATCAAGATGTTATTGCGGCAAACCAGGAGACCAGAACTTGGTGACAAGTTTAGCAGTAGACATGGACAAAAGGGGTAGAAATCTGGGATATTAGAACATAGTTGCTTTCCCAATGTAGGATAACGGGGATAGGTGATTGCAGCCAGCCCTTGCCCATGCTCATATGGGAATACATTTTTGTTTTTATTTTTTTCATTCCCTGCCACGAAATCCCTGGGTTTGTCCTCTCAATATGTCAACAGTTTTGACTATAGGTACAATAGGGATTTAAAGATAAACTGCCTTGTTCTTCCTTAGTGTTTGTGGACTGATCGTGAACCAAGAGGATATGCCCTTTACTGATCTGGTGAGTAGTATCTACAGTATGCTATGACATCATTAAGCTATTATTAGCTATTATCGACTTTATGTGGATAACGTTTATTGCTTTATTAAGGTATCAAAATTGCTCAAAAGTATCGATTTTTACATTTTTTTATTTTGCGATAAAATATATAATATAGCGAGTAATAAAAAAATACGGTTGTGTCAACAAAGCTGCTTCCGTTCAGTCAGAAACATTTTTGCGTTTTTCTCGGAAGTGATTTTGCGTTATATTTTGAGTCCGATGTCAAAGGGAATTTGACCGATTTAACCGAAATTTTGAGGAAGTCATCTTGAATAGTTGTTCTTCAACAGTGTGTTTCCATTTTTTTTTTTTTTTTTTTTTTTTTTTTTTTTTTAGTTATCGTGGATTTTGGCTTGCATACCGGTGATATAGCAGCGTCATAACTTTAAGAGCGTATAAGAAAGCAACGGGGCAGCTAATCAAAAATCGGAGACACACTTTTGACAAGTGATGTCTTGTGATCTCGGAAAGGTAATAAGCATTGGTTTTCGATCATTACCGGCTGTCATCAAACTCCGCGAAGATGCTACGGTAAAAATTGGAATAATTCGCTCTAACTTAAAAGGATAAATATATTTTACGAAAAGGAAAAAAGGAATAGTTTCTACATTTATTCAGCTTTCAGAAAATGTATACTTTGTTGAGGTTTCGATTAAAAGGTTTTGTGCTATTAAGAGTTGAATGCACAATGGTCGCTAGGGGTACCCTGATACCTTAATTATTACTAGTTATCTAGTTTTGTACTAACCAAGGGTTCTTTTTTCAATATTTCCTCAGGGGATCTGTCCTGACATCGTAAGTACCTGTCTTGAGCCTATGTTCAGTCTATACTGACCAAACCATCACTAACCATATTGCTGTAATGTGTCCAGATAATGAACCCTCATGGCTTTCCATCGCGTATGACAGTTGGCAAGTTAATCGAGCTGATTGCTGGTAAAGCTGGTGTCCTTGAAGGACATTTTGGCTATGGAACTGGTACGTGTAGACCTTTTTTATACTTGATATACCTTCCCACATGCCCGCTGCTTGCTAACCTTATCTTGTCAAAATATAGACAGTTACGACTAAGAAAATGATATTCATTCTTTTTAGGGCTGTTTAATATCGTCAAAATAGATATTTTTCTAATAACTTTCTTTTTCCTATGTTTTTCCTTCTGTCAGCGTTTGGTGGGGATAAAGTAGATGACATTTGTAAAGAGCTTATGAACCATGGCTTTAACTACGCAGGAAAAGACTACGTCACTTCCGGTATCACTGGGTAAGTAGTATGGGTTGATATGTGACGTTGAAGCAGCTCAATTTGGAGGACAAAACAAAAGAATTTCAATCTCATGAGAACGTCGTATCCGGTCCCTTTTAGAAATTTTACCTGACAAGTCGAGCATCGAACCATCGACCCTGACCTGAGCGACCCCAGGCGCGTAGAAGCAGCGCTGTAATAGTGCTTGCCACTCGTGTGCTTGCCACATGATTTATTCAGCTGATTGATACCAGGTTTAAAATAGTGTTCGTTAAGTGGTTTATACATTTCTCTTCGTTTTCTAGTGAACCTCTGACTGCATATGTGTTCTTTGGTCCAGTGTATTATCAGAAGCTAAAGCACATGGTGTTGGACAAGATGCACGCCAGGGCCAAGGTTAGCAATTACATATTCTACCTACTGCTGTTGTTTGAACTTGTCACTCCGTGATTCTGTGACTATTTCTACTCAGAACTCCAGACGTCCATGCAGTTTTTTTTTTTTTTCAATACTCATATCTACATACGTGCCTTCGATACTTACCGCACTTCCGCTTGATTCACCAGGGTCCACGAGCCGTCCTCACCCGCCAACCAACAGAGGGCAGATCAAGGTAAATGATGTTGTTCAACTGATGGAAGGGGGTGAAGTGTTGTCTCCAGTAACTCAGTTTTCCATTTAGTGTATCGTTCTTATCAAGAAAATGCGAAATTTTAAGAAATCCTCTATTGTAGCCTGTTATTGTGCCATTGCAGAAAATCCCTTAAACGACTAAATGGTATTCTTCATAGTTTTTATAAACAAAATTACTGCAAATTTTGTGGGGAATTGCATCGATCAATGGCACCCATCCCTTCTCTAGTTTTCCATAAYAGTATGTCAAACATTTAAAAAAAATATGTCAACATTATTAGACCCTAACCCTTATGACATTTAYATTCTTTTTCAAAGTCTCTTTTAAAAACCAATCACGCCCTATTTCTATTTGATGTAGTGTTTGAATATTTGATGGCAAACCTGTCCCGGGTTTCGAATTCAGCATTGATACTAACAGGGGAGAAATCCGGGACAGTTTTTCCCTCGAAGTTCAAACCCTACATCAAGCATTAGAAAAAGAGCTGGGTTGGTTTTTAAATCAGTAAAAAACGCACGTGCGCGGCCTTGAATTTCAATGCAAACCCTCGCCCTAGCGTTTTAACCTTTATTTCATATTCAAACGTTAAAACTCCTTTGAGAATACCAAGATAAGAGTGAAAATTAGCATAACAAAAAAGCTACCATAAAGGATCAATATAGAGCGTCATCTTGCTTTACGTCTATTTGATTACCATTCTGCAATTCTTTCCAGGGACGGAGGTTTGCGACTTGGTGAGATGGAAAGAGATTGCCTGATAGCATATGGTGCAAGGTAAATAAATAGCTGTACCAGCACCCAACCTTGACCACGTTACATTAGCACTTGAAATATTCTTGGGGGAGGGGAGGGACGAGGAAGGATACCTTGTTCTATCCCATAATGGTTTATTACTCAGTCATCATGCATACGTTCTATTCCATGCCGTGTTTGCCTCGTAAAAAATACTCTCTATCGCATTCATTTACGCTATATTTTTTCTGTATTTGTAGCATGTTGCTTATTGAACGATTAATGATCTCAAGCGACGCGTTTGAGGTTGATGTATGTGGAGAGTGTGGGCTCTTGGGCTACTCTGGATGGTGAGTTAGATAGAAATAGATAAAAAGATTGATGTACTTGCACCTAACTTCAAGATCAAATGCTATCAAACCGTGAATAACCTTAGAGCTGATCAAAGTCGGAGAACGTACTCAAAGATCAGAATTGCGCGTGTTAGGTTTTGTGAGGGGGGGAGGGGGAGGGGGGGTTGGCCGAAGAACCCGGAGAAAAACCCTCAAATCAAAGAAGAGACCTAAGAAAACTCTACTCAGTATGTGTGATGCTGAGTCCAGGAATCGAACCTGAGACCCCAGTGGTGACAGGCAAGTGCACTACAGCTGATCTGAAGGGGAAAAAAACAACAACAACAAACTGAGGTGTCACTTTTCCTCTTCAATGAAGTTTTGGATTTCCAGTTCACCATGCAAATGAAAATATATGTAACATTGCTAACAAGAGGTTGATAATAGTGACAATAATTAATGATTTTAATATTTTTATTGCAATGGCGGGCATGCTTTTTTTTTTTTCGGTGGTCCATTTTTGAATTCTTCATTTAAACCTCAGTATTACAGTGACGTCATTTCTACGTCACTATTTCAGATACCGCTACGCCAAAAAGCTAAAAGTGTCAAAAAGCTAAACAATTCCTTAGCAATTGTGTTCTAAATTTTGCTTCTAATCGTTTGCAGGTGCCATTACTGCAAATCCTCGCATAACATCGCATCCCTCAAGATCCCGTACGCATGCAAGTTACTCTTCCAAGAACTCCAGTCGATGAATATCGTACCACGTCTATCTTTGAAGCATTACACTGATGACTAACATACTAATTACTGACGTCACTGAACATACTTGTGAATCGAAAAAAAAACCAGACAAATGAAACCAAACACAAATTATAGCTGCTCTCAAAATGTTTCTGTCGTGACAAAATAAACCAATCTTTATATTGAAACAAATCCAGGGCTTGTCGTTCAAGACTATAAAAACTGTAATTTAATTAATAACTATTTAATTAATAACAGATTATAATTTCATGAGGTATGTTTACGACACGGCAAATGTCAGGAGAAAATACTGTTGACGCTCTCCGCTGCTAACTAATTTCCCCTGCATATTTAATTAATATTCCCTTAGAAATACTACGTAAACTGAGCCGGGTGAAAAATAATTTGAAAATACAAAAAAAAAAAAAAAAAAAAAAAAAAAAAAAAAANAAAAAAAAAAAAAAAAAAAAAAAAAAAAAAAAAAAAGGAAGTACCAGAGTCGTATAAATGCTCTGTATTATAGGACTGTTGAAATAGATTTGAAAAAATTAACACGAACGAGGCGTCAACGTTTGGACCTGGATGGCAATGAATTATGTCCTTCTGCCCTTAACGTACGAATCGTGCAGGATAATGTTCTATCCCGAAAGCTTCAGGGGAGAGACTAAATGCCCCCCACCATCACCAATGCATGCAATCTTACAGATCCCACAGATCACAGGAATGTAATAGTCTAGTCTCTGGTGCATTGTTTATTCGGACATTGGTGTGATTATATCTTGCACCCTTGGGCAGTGGTAAAAAACCTTTGAATCAAGCCCGATGAGCGAAGTAAGCATCTTTGGCTCATACTTAACAAAACCTATCATTTCAATTTTTTTTCAAAATGTTACTTTAACAACTTCAAAGTGCCCACGTTACTACAATGCAGCGGGCATTCCAATCATATTATTACGTCATAGTGCGCAAAGTATATTTTTCTTGCGTTCAGACGTGCGACTTTTGCTCCGTGAAAAAGTTTCAAAAGCGCAGTAATTTTTCGCTGATATCCAATTTTCTTTAACAAAACATGGATTTTATATAAAGACAACTCCAATATAGTGATTTTCAAGACATGAAAGAGTAAACTTTGAATGTAAAATTTCTTTTGCTTCGATTTCACGATATTTAACCTTTTGAAACTTTTAAGAATTCGTTTCCGAATTCCAATTTTTTTTAAATATTATTCACTTTTGGTTGAAAATGAAATTTTTACAACTTGTTGCATGAATAGATTTAGTTGTGCCAATGATGTGATTGCAGTTTTCTATTAACCGCTACTGAATTTTTTTTCAGCGCGATTAGTCGCAGGCAAGATTAATTGTGACATCACAAGCGCGCGCACTCTAGAAACCCCTATTCTGATCTTGAGCAAATGTTACCAGAAAATAATCGATTCTTATTTAGGTTATTAGTTAAAACAATATCGAGATTGTTAGATTGCTGAAGACTTGTATTAACAATCATATAATCCCGCTTGTCATTAAAACTGAGTAATAGCAGAGCTCCCGCGCGAGCAGAGCATCATACTTAAGAAAAATCGGTTACATGCATGAATACCAGATATTTCTTGTCTTAGTTCATATTTTGGAGATTTGCAAATTTTTTCCAGAGCAAAGCAGCACTAAGCAGACTTGAAAACTGAGGGGGGGGGGATACTAAGCAAAATATGAGCCTACTTCTACTTCTTTTACATAACGATATTTTCTTGAAATAATAAAAGAAGTTTATCAAAAGTCATTAATAAATAAACCAATAAAAAGACCTCAGGCTAGAGAAAACGAAGAATCAAGAAGAAGAAACAAGTTCTCTTCTTTCAGTACGGTGGGAATCGAACCGGCGTCCACCAACTTTAATTAGATAATTAATTCCAAAACACAAAAGGAAAAAAGTAGTGCCTTCATGCCATACCCCGAGACATCTGCTGGGTCATCGTATGGACTTCGGACATGAYGGCAATYAAGTCCCTCTGCCCTTGGGTGTACGGATTACGCAGGATAGTGTTCTAGCCGAAGCATCAGGGGAGAGACTAGCCGGCCCCCAGACCATATCTACAGCTAATCCCTTGCACTCTGACACGCACTGGCACGTTGATTTAAAGTGGAAAATAATCTAGTTAATCTGGTGCATTGTTTTCGTGGCTATTGTTTTTCTAATTTCCTGAAATCGTGGTCCAGTGGACAAAAACTTGGGCTTCCAAGATACTGAGTCAAGCACGTTTGGGGGAAATTAGCACCTTGATGGGTGACCTAAAATTTATCGTCACCCAACTCTGTTTTTGAAATTCCTTTTTTTAAATATATTTGTAGAAATACTCAAATAAACACAGACAACTAATAAATGCTTTTTTTTCATTTATAATCCGCCATTCCTGCGTGTACCCAAATACTTTGAAAGTATTTGAACAACAGATTAACTCCTTGAATACTCGAAAAGATATAGATCCTATACTGAAATGCTTTTTTTTYCCCCACTTAAATCCGCACTTACAACCCAAACGCTTTGAACAAATGCTTTGAAGAAATGCTTTGTTTTTGACGGCTTTAATGTTTCATTTTTGTTAGCGTTTACAAGTCATCATTGCCTTCTTTTCGTCTTTCAGTTTTCAGTCTTCATGGTATTTTCATGTTCAGCTTAACAAGAAACCAAAATTGTATTGTTATGCCCCGATTTTTTCCATCCTCTTTCTTTATGTTTTGTCACTTCCTTCTTTCCTTCTATTATTTTTCCTTCTTTTGAGTGTTCTTCCTTCCCTCTTTCCTTCTAAATTGCTTTTTTTATTTATTTGCTTTTACCTTCCTTGCTTAGCTTTGAATCTTATATTATTTTTTACTGATTCCCTTTCCTTTCTTAATTATTATTATTTCTCTCACAATTTCATTTTTACTTCTCCTTCTCAGTTATTTCTCTGTTTTTTCTTCTTTAAAATTTCTATATTTTCAATATTCTGTTATCAGTAGAAATTTTAAAAACTGTAGAGATTAAATTCTTTGATTTGGCGATCGGAGGCGATAAACAAAACTGCTACTAGAATGTAAAAATATATGATTTTTGGCAAGAAATTAATTGAATTCCATAGAAGAACCCTTCTTACTCCATCTTCGACTAATTGAGAATATATTTCTTTGGTATGGTTCTTTTGTCCCAAAGCGATGTTTATATAATTGTCTGTATACTCGTGSATTCGCGAATTTTGCTTTGAAATTATAATTAAGCCTGTGGTGTGTACGCAAACGAACGTAGCGACGAAAGTAACGTTAGTAGTTATAAAGCCATGAAAAACCGACTCGATTGGAACACGAGTGAAAAACGTCTGCGCATGCTCTGAATTCGTATGCTAATTCTTTAAGGCTAATTCTTTCATATTGTGTTATTGAAGGTAATTCCCTTGTTCTGTACTGCGCATTTTTCTGCGCATGTAACTGAATGCATGGAACCGAGCACAGTTTAGGCATTTTTCTTTCGCAAACTAAATAAGAAACCCAGTTCAAAACAAATTTTCACTTTTTTTTTGACCAGAAAAATCAATTGCGATTCTTACCTGACTCGCCCCAGTCTCCAGTCGGAAAAGTATCAGTTTTCGACTATTTTGAGATGTTTTTTTTACAAGATAAATCAAAAACGAGAATGGTGACCCCAATGCATTTTTTATTTCAGATTTTTGATAAATGCGATGCTTGGATAGATTTTGAAATATTTTGATGGGAATAGTTGACATGTGCAATTTTTGGACGTTTGTAGAGGTGCACATACCTGCATTTTTAACGAATAGTTCAAGAATCATAGTCATCCAATGACTTTGAT